CACATACCTCTTGCATAGTGTTCTGAATAGGTGTGCCAGTCAAAAGAAGGCGATTGCGGCACTTGAAGGAGAGGAGAATGCGCCAGCGAAGACTGAAGCCATTTTGCAGGCAGGAGGAGAAGAGAGAAAAATATGAGAAAAATGTAACGGAGATGGCTGATGTAGGTTGGGTATTAAATATATATATATACATTTTCACCAAGCGAAAAGTAAACCGTTGAAATTTTTATAGTAAATCTTCAAGGATCGAAGAGACCACGAACCAATCACTGTTAATTGTGAGAATAAAGGTTACTATTTATTGAATCAACATAGAAAAGCCCATCCTCAAGCATGCTTCTTAGGCATACGAATAAAAGAGCAGCCGCGTCCGCTACGACCCTAAATATATAATGATCCATTATTCATTCGAAGAATTTGCACGACACATCAAATAGGGTTTAACTTGCCAAACACGAAAGATAATAAAATAATTTCAGCCAGTACCCTAAAAATTTGGTGGGTCCAAGAAGCTATAAATTAATCTTGTGCGATCATGTTGGTTGTAGAAATGTAAGACACGACAAAGTCTAATATCAACACCCCATCCGCCCCAGTCCAGTTAGACGGGTCTACAGAAATGACACTATCTAAAATATCTCATCTCAATCCTCTTGCTTCGAAGTAACTGTACATCTAAATCTAGCGTTCGACTCGTATCTATTATAGTAAATAATTTCGCAGCGCATCACATCGATATCCATAATGCTATAATATATCTGGTCGCATTACCAATAACATGATATTCTCATATCATTATAATCTACCGATTATAAAATCCCACTGCTCACCTTGAGGTGCTCTTAATTGCATGCGCTTCATCCAATACAATGTAGGCCCAAGCCGTCTTGTTGATAAACTTGGCATCCTGTAACACTACTTGATAGCTTGTCACCACCACATGTAATTCAGCTTCCCGTGTCCCCATACGTCCGCCCCTGCCACTCCTAGTCGCATTCTTTCCTATTCCTCTTTCTATTGCGGTCGCTTCCACAGCTTCGTCTTCATCCTCCGGAAAATCGTCTCCTGTCTCCTCTCGCCGGCTGCTTCGTCCATCAACACTTTTGAGGCTGCCACCAAAGCCAGGTTGGCTCCAGAAGCGGCGCAACACCTTACGCTCAGCTGGATTCCCCCAGTACGGCACCAACCGAAAAGCTGGTACAAAGCGAGCGAATTCTTGTGTCCAATTGTGTAAAGTGGATGCAGGGGTCACAATGAGGAATGGACCCCAGAGGTTGTAGAACTGGAGAATAATGGATATAATTTAAAACAATGGAATCAAAAAGTAGAGGTGGACAAACGAACGAAAATATCATTGAAAGGCAAATTGATGAGACATATATTTTAATGAATCGAACACTCGTATGTATAAATATTTCACATGCAACCATTTTATTGCATAGTAACTGACCTCTGCTAGGCTGGCCAAGAAAGCGATGGTCTGAATGGTTTTTCCTAGGCCCATTTCGTCGGCCAGGATTCCATTAATACCTTGGTCGAACA